GAGCTCATCCCCCTGAGCTGCGGCCCCGCTGATGTCAGCGCTCGGCTCCGTGGCAGGAAGCGATACGGGAACAGAGCCCCAGAGGAAACTGAATTGAGCAACTGAGGTTAACTCCTCTGGCATTTCAGCATGCGGCATTTCCAGGGACTTTCTAAGAACCCGGGCTGGGCTGGGCTGCACACCAAAGGCAGGAGGGAGCAGCTGTGCTGCCACATGGCAAAGCAGGCAACATCTGCCTCCCCTGGGCTCCTGGCCCCTTCTCCCCCCAGGGAAAACATTTCATCAAGAGCTTTCTACAAGGCTCTCTGAAGGCAGGACACAGATGCACTCAAGTTTTCCTGGAATCTACCTCAGAAACAGTCCTGAATGGTATAGAGTCAGATTTTGTATTTTTGCAGGGCTCAGGTGCGGCTGGGGCTCTGGGTGGTGCATCTGTACATTCCTACAACAGCAATAACAGTTATCTGGCATCTCATCTCAGAGATGCGATAAATTGGAGCCTTCCACAGAAACTGGCCGGTGCCATCACTGTCTGTGCTGCTGAGGCACCTCTGCCAGTGCCAGCCACTGCCAGAGAGCTCTGCCTACAGTACAAGCCAGGAAGGAGAGACGAAGAACATCCAGGAAACATTCTGGAGTTAATCCAGGGTACTAAAATGTCCCAAATACCAAGGGATCTTCTATTCATAAAGTTTCTCAAGCAAAGCAAGACATGAACAATAAACTATTTTCACTTTTTACACACCAGCCAGACAATTTCACTGAGCTGTACCCGTAGCAGTGATCAGAACCTCAGATATGTGAGTTCTTGGAAAGACAGATTTTCTTCCCTTCCTTTTCTTCTACCTCCACTTCTGCTGAATTAGTCACAACTGAATTAGATGGAAGGAATGTACCTGGAAGCCTTCCAACTGCTCCTCTGTTTATAGGATTTACCAGGAAGACTACAGCCAGAGCTTTGTGGGTAAGTGCATGGTTTGCCAGAGCATGGCTCTACTGTTTAGTCTCATGTAATTGTGATTATCTAATTTCAAACCTTGTGTGGCTGGTGCCGAGTTCAAATTCAAGTCATTGCTTTCCAGAGGATTTCCTTCCTGAGACTCTCCCTCTTGGACCACTGCTTGAGGCTACAAAGAAAAAACACCAAAAATAAACAAGCCCCCCCCATGCAAAATTAGGTATGGAAAGACAAAACTGCAAATATGCAAAGTAGGTGGATTATTATTTAAACAAGACTCTGCAGCCCTGACAGCACATCCATCTGCCACCAACTCCTACATCCAACCATAGGCAAGAATACACAACAGGGCATGCAGTGTCCACACACATTCACAAGTCTCTGAATACTTGTCAGAATCCACAGTAAACAACCCCAGTATCAGCCTTGTGAGACACAGCCCAACACTTCGAAAAAATCTGCCCATTATGCAGTTGTGGAGATCTTTTTTCATCAAGAATATTTTCTATATTTCAGGTTCTGTCCCTGTCTTGACCAGCTAAACATTTTTTCTATTGACAGTTAAAACCAAAATTATTGTTCATTTCTTCTGCTTTGGTTTTGCCCCCCAAAAATTCTTCAGCTGTTTAATTCTGAACTGAAACATCAGAATCCTTCACTAACCAAAGTTAAAACGACACATTTTGAAATGTTAAAAGCTCCTGCTTGTCTTTGAGATTTGTCAGGCCACAAATGACACCAGCAGAACTTACTGGGTAAGGTTTTGCTCTGTAAGACACAGCCACTTCTGCCTCTGATTATTTTCCATAGAGCTTGAGGATCCCAGTTTGCACAGCTGGTTGCTTTAAGCACTGGTAACACAGGCTTCCCCAGTCAGTGCATTTAAATTACATAAGATAAATGGGCTTGGGGAAAGCAATGAGCTTTGAGCAAGTGCAGTGTGCTAAACTAGACTGTTACCTTCTCACCTGGACTGCAGAGAATGAACACATGTATGCAACAGGTCCCTTGCCTGGGACGTTCTGCACAGGGTTAGCAAACAGCTTCCCCCTATCCAGGAAATATCTGCATGCAAGGTCACTGCCACATCAGAAAACACTTGTGATCTCTCCCATATCCTGGCACTTCCTGGCTGGTGAACATTTCCCTCCAAGCCTTCTGCATGGCCCTCTCAGGCTGCTCTGTCCCTCTGGTTCTGCTGAGCCAGAAGTGTTCCTTTCCCTCCTGAGCACCCCTGTGCCACCACAGCTGTACAACAAACCTATGCATTCCTGCAGCAAGTGCACAGCTTGCGTTTGGATCTAGCAATTTTTATGATGCACACTAAATAATGGTTTGTGGCTGTTGTGGAGGTTTTTAATCACTCCTAATGACAGGTAACATACCATGAGTAGTTCACAGGACTGAATATCCTTATTGATTAAAAGCTTTTGTCTTGTTTTTACACCTGAAATGTTTTCTTCTTAGCCAATGATTCTTACTAATCCTTTGTTGCATAAAAGAGTCTCCTGCTGACAGGACTCAAAGTTTTTCCACTCATGAAATTTCTCTTTTAGCTAAAAGTCAAGTTTCTTCTTTTGAGACAAATTGACATGCTAAGCAATCACTTCAGTCTTTCAAGTCTCCTGGGAAAACAACCCCTCTCTCTAAGAAAGGATGGAATCTCTGGCCTGACATTCCAAGCCTAGGAAAGTGCTATACTGTGGAAGTCTGGTATGTATTGAATTAAGTACAGCATCTCCCCTGGGCTCTCAGAATTCTTCAGTAGCTGAATCTTGGAGGCCAGCAGGAAGACAGAGCTTCCCTAATTATTTCCAGGCTACCAAAGCTCAAAGAATGTTGTGGAAGACACAGAGTCTAAGAAGGGCAAACACAGCTGCAAGTTCCCCAGGATCTGTGCCTGGAGAAGAGGGAAAGGACTGAACACTGTACTCACCCACTTGCGGGGCCTCCCTCTTCGCCTCTTGCCAGCAGGAGGTTCTGCCTTTATTGAAAACAAAGGGGGAATATTGTCAGCTCTCAGATTTGCTGGGTATTGTGAGCAAACCACTGAACATGGCCAAGGTGACCTCTGTATAAAAGGTCTTGTCTCACAAGTAGCAGAAAAAGCAAAAGCTGGGGATAGAAGACAGTTGAGGAGGAAACACCTGTCTGACTGCACTGGTTGTGATTATTGGGCAGTGGTGGAGGAGAAACACTGGGAGGAAACTGCTGAACAGGCAGTGGCAACACAGGAAGGCAGGGAGGTGAGTGAGGACTAAAACCACAATAACTGATTTGTCCAACAGTGGTAATTAAAGCTGAGCTGAATTAGGGCAACTTTCACTATTTTTAAGCTAAGAGAAACATCCCTGCTGGTCTCTGGCAGTGCTTCTCTCCTCTGTAAATGAGTATAAGCCATTTCCTCTCACCGTTCCTCCAGTTAGAGCAGTCATTTTCTTGCTTCCTTTTGGCCTTCCTCGTGGTTTCTTCACTGGCTGTGGTTCCTCAGCATCCTGTGGGATAATAGCTGTGTTTCCACCATCCTCCTGGGATAAAAGGAGAAAACCATTTAAACTGTTTCAGGGATCATCCTGCTTATCTTCTCTCATTCTGGTTGGTCTTGGACTGTCTTACACCACTAAGAGCACCCAGACCCCTAAATAGCTGGTTGTCTCTGGTTTTCCAGCTGGGAGGTGCATTAGAAGATGATCAGCAATACTCCTACCTCTTTATGTCTTTTGGGCTGGGGAAATGAGTAAGTTCCAAGAACTCTGGCCAAGGGACCTTGCCTGTTCTATCCAATTACTGGCATAGAAACAGAGGGTGATGACACATGAAAGTCTCCAGGCTAGAACAGAGACCTGGCCAGCCCCTCTCACACATGTCCTGGGCTGAACTGTCACTGCCTGTCACATCAGAGTTGCCTCTGAGGCCAGGAGCTGAGATTTCCCAGGGTGCAGATCCTGCTGCTGTCCTGGGTAGCCCCAGCATTTACCCCAGAACACCTCTCCTCCCCTTGTCCTTGTGAGCAAGCAGCTTCCCAGGGCCTGCCTGCAGATCCCATCAGGCTACTGCCATGGCATCCTCTTGAGATGATGTTCTCTCACCTGTGGCTGCTTCTTTGGTCTCCCCCTCTTTCTCTTCAGGCCCTGGGTCAGTGTGGATGAGATGGGATTCTCTGCCCCCTCACTGCTCATGTTGGCACTCTCCACTGTTAGCAGATTATAATCCAACAGGTTCTTTTTCCTGGACTGGGAAAGAAAACTTGTCTCCTCTTTTTTGCTTTATCTTGTTATGGATTCTCCTCTACCTGCAAGGCTGAAATGAGAAAATCAGGCATGGAAGCTTGCTATTGTTTTCATCAGCTGCAAGAGTTCATGACCCAGCAGACATCTGGGAGCATAACTGGTTCTAGAATATCTACAGAGCACATTCTCTTACCTAGCCTATTCCTCAGCTTTCTGAGACTTTTATCCAAAGGAACTGAATTGCTCCAGGCATGGACTATGCTGGTACCTGCATCTACCTTTCCCTGTTTAATCTGAATCAAAAGAGACAATGTCTGCAGCTCTCTAAACTCCACTCTTTGGAGGCTTCCTCCAAAAAGGAAGGAGGTAGGAGATAAAGTGGTGGTGAGTTATAAATGCACCAGTCAAGGGCAAAGCTTCCTTTGGAGATCCTATACCGTCAAATATCAAAGCTAATCCTGAGACCAAAATCTACAGCTAACAGAGCCTTACATGAGAATGCTTAAGAGAACAAGTCTCAGGGTACAAATTCTAAGAAGTCTATTCTAAGAAGTCTGGCTCTGGAGCTGCCCCTCAAGAGTTTGTTCTTAGTCACTGATTGAACAGGCACTGTCTGGAGAGATGGCCTGACCCCATTCACTGCACTCAGCCCTTGGTCTTACATGAAGCTCACTGTTTTCTACAGGACAACACAAGCCCCTAGACCTGGGTATTGGTAGGATTTGAGCGCTGGCGTATCTGCTGGAAGTCTGAATCAGCAGGCTTGTCAGCCTCCTCCCTGGCCCCAAGCTCTGCTTAGTGCCTGCTGTGGCTGGAATGAGCCCTGATCCAAATTGTTTGCTCTAAGAAATAACCAAGATCCTGAGCTGTTGAGAGTACACAGGAAACCAGTGACCTTCCCTGCTTCTGCTGGAGGTTTCTCCTCTAGCACATCTGCCAGAGAAGGTGGAGGTCTGACTGCAAGCCTGGACAGCCTCACATCCCAAAGAAGGAAGAGGAAGGGAGACCTTGACCAGAACCTCAGCAGAAACCTCAATCCCAGGCACATTAGGACATGTGGGAGTCACTGAAGTTTTGCTTGTGTGTGGAGTCAAAACCTAGCCAAGGATCTGAGTCCACTTACAGCACTTCCAGACCCTGGCCTTCCTTTCCTTCTTGCACACAAGGGAGGGCTCAAGGAGATGGGAGAGGATGAGGAGGCTGAGCTCAGGTGGACAGAGGCCAGCAGTGCTGGCTGAATCCTCCTTTGTCAGTAGTTATCACAAAACACACAGCTGAGAATAGTGCAGTTAGGAAAGCAGCACCATTTATTGCTTAGGAAAGCAGGAGTATCCAGATGAATCATTCATTTCTACATTCTCTGCTAAACCATCACCTGAGAATTTTTTTTTTGCAACTGTTCACTTTACCTGTTTTACTACTTCTTTTCCACCTGCTAAATGAAAGATAACAACAGCAAGCATAAAGAGCTCTTTGCCCCACTGGCCTTGAGCACTGCTGAGTCCCCAGGTCCCTCCAGCAGGCTCTACCCGAGGCAATAAAGGCAGCAGTAAAGGCACAGCTGCACCATGTAGAAGAGTGTGACTTTTTTGTTCAAAATAATGCTGGAGGGCAGTAGCTGGGCTCAGTTCCAGCTCATGCATGAGCAGCCCTACCAAGAGAACTCCCTGGATGTCCCTTTGTGCACACAGTTGGGCCCCAGCTCACAGGTGCTGCTGCACACTCAGCCTTTCTATCAAACCCTCTGATCAGAGGGTGATGAAAAGACTACAGCTCAGGTCTCTGAGTTCAGGCTGCATCTGGAGGAGAGGCAGTTAGGGGAATAAAAAAAAAGTTCCTTTCTACTGGCAAGCCATGCACAGTTGCCACCAAGTCCCTGAGAGACAAGCATGAAACACTTGCAGTCTCTCTCAGAGAAGAGCTGTACTTTTACAGACACAGTTTTGTAGTCAGATCAGATGTTCAAGCTGCAAAGAAGAGAGGACCTTAACTGAGGATGGCAACAAATATTCTGCCCTCTGGCCAGGTACAGTTCCTTGAGCCTGCATTTTCTGGTCAGAACTGGGGCTCAAATGGGCTGGTGTCAGCACCTGGAGTTGGCTGAGGCAGGAGGGGCTCACTGAGGCTCTGGACTGCCCTAGGAGGAGAGAAGCCCTTGTGCCTCTTCCCAAAGGCCCAGCTCATGTCACACACACCTGCTCCTGGATGAGCCCAGTGTGCTGCAAAGGTGGCTTGAAGCCTCCAGAGCCTGAGCCTTCCCTCAGCTGACAGTGGAAAGGGAACAGATATGGCCATAGGAATGGACAAGTGTGAAAGTGCTGTCCAGGCCAGATCCCTGAGCAGAGATTACAGCTGCTTATCTGGAGGAGGCTGTGCTGATAGGAGGGTGGAGTTCAACGTTTTCATTCTATTTTTCAGTCTCAGCTTGCATGTCCTCCTTGGTCACCACAGGCTGGACATGCAGCAGCTGACAGTGTCACTGACAGATGCAGCAAGGGAACTTCCAACCTTCACTCCACATCCTGACACAATGTGCACAGTTGTGACAGACACTGAAGCCATTGCCCTTGCTGACACAACCTCCCTCAAGAGTTCACTGTAACTGACACCTGCACGGAATCCAAATTTTGCATGTCATTATTCAAGCAACCACAGTGCACAGAATTAATTTTTCCCCAGATACAAAGAAAGCCAGTTCTTGCACAATGACTTTTTGCTAAACCTTACCAAACTAATACACTCTACAATTCCTTTAACATATCTGGCCACCCTTCTACAGGCAGGACTGCAGAAGACAAATGCCAGAGACTGCCAGGAGACAGCAGTTGCTTTGTACATCTCTCTTCCACCTTCCCATCACCCACCCAAGGCACATCCTTCTCAAAGCCTGGTGTGAAAAGAAAAACACACAAGCAAAATTATACAAGCATCAGTCCTTAGGGCTTTTGTCACCTTTACATGACTCAAGCAAGACACAGACAAAGCAAAATCACCCACTGCAATTTTATTTCAAATTTCTCAACAACTTTCCATGTATACATATAAACCTCCAGACCAATTCTGAGTCACACTGTACAGCAAAAGCCAAGTACACCTTCCAGGGTCACTGCATTCCCTGCTGGGATTGGAGCCAGCAGGGCTAAAGCCTACACTGTGTCCACAAGGACACAAGATCTGAAAAACCTATCCAAATGTCTGTGGGCCTTAGATCACCTTTATGTCAGCCATATACACAACTTTACAAATGGCACAGGATGTGGATGCATGATTTTGGCAGAATTGAGACCTCTGTGTTGCAGAGACAGCGCCTCAAAGAAAGCCTCACGTCCCAGATGCATTCCCAGGCACCTGGCAGAGGGCAGGGAATCCTCACAGTCATAGTACTTTACACCTGATTTAAGTCCTAAGTTGTACAAAGCCAGTTTTTCTCACATCACAAATTCTCAGGGAAGAAAAGCTCCTCCTGGGGGCAATGCAGTTGTAGCCTAACACAGTATTGAACAGTGTTCTTGAGGGACTTTTCCCTTTCCGTAGACTACAGAGGAAGCCTTGGGGATGAGGCTGTTGACTTGGGCAGGCAAATTAAAGGGCAGAACCCCTCCCTGTTCGTTTCCTCAGTGAGGTTACATTTTGGGCTATGTCCGACAGGCACAGTATGACACAGGGATACTTGAGACATTGCACTGAACCTCCCAAACCATGTGTGTGATTCACCACCAGAAACGCTGCTTCGGCTGCAGTGCTCACTTACAAAATAAAATCTTGCAAAGCCTTTTACAAAGCATAATTAGAGTGTGATTGTAAGAGACCCTGCATTATAGCCTTAACTTTTCATTTTATTACAGAGACAGTAATAGCTCAACTCCCCCTTAGCAGCACAGCACCACTGTGCTGCTGTCATGTGTGACAGCAAACCCAGGGGAGCTTCACTGGCTCCATCAAGATGGTCACTCTATTTCCTCTGGTAAAAAGATGGAGGGAAAAATCTGGCCCAAGCCCTGCATCAAGCAGAGGAGGATAAAAGACTTTGCTAGTCAAGGCATCTAAAGAAGAGCCAGGCAGAGAGAAAACTCTCATTCCAAAAACTGCAGCAATAACAATCTGCGCTCGTATTACGAGAAATTACTTTCACCTTCCGAGAAATCAAACGCTCACATCTTCTCAGATCTCGCAGTAGATCAAGATATAACACAGCTCATTGCAGCTCCCCATGGACAGTTCTACCAGAAAAGCAGGATAGCCATGCACTGGAACAGCTCCCTTGGGAAAGTACAGTGGCAGTAACACTCTGGCAAACGTGCCTTTTGTGCCAGACTTTTCTGTAAAAAGAGGAACTTATGAGCTACTAAATCAGGTTTGTGGCAACAGAAGGTAACTGCCACTGTCTCATAAATCGTTTCTCAAAATCATAACTAACCTCTCTAGGTGATTTCCCTGACTACTTTGAGTGGCTAAGTCTAAAGCTTCTTTGATCTCATGCTTAAAAGAAAGTCTCCTAGCTCCTTGCCAGTTAGTTTGTTTTTTTTTAATGAGCAACTTATTGTCACCTGTTCTTGCATCACCAAGTCCTTTAGCAGCAATATTTCTCTCTCCTCCATTTTTAATCTGTACCAGATTACACATCTCCCTCACCTTGCCTGGCGGAATAAACCAGCACATTTGGTTCTTGGATGTCATTGTATCTCCTGATCATTTTGGTTGTCATTTGTACCCCTTCCAATCTGACCTCAACACTCTGAGTATGATAAAGATGCGTACTCAAAACTATTTGCAGTGAGGACAGCCTGACTAACTTCACATGAATCTGAGAAGCATGGGCTGAGCAACACTTCAGTGGGGAAGATTCAGTTCTTGTGTAACGTTAATAGCACTGGCTTCCAAAATGATTCAACCAGCAAGCTATTCCACCACCTCCAGCATATCCTGACTGATAAAATACCCAGGTCAGAACACAGAAACTATTTAAATTTACAGAGGACAAAAAATACAGGAACCATAAGGGCTTCCATGCTTCACATGAGCTCTAGAGACTTGCTCAAGGTCTGGATGAGAGTTTCTGTAGCTCAACAGA